GGAGAAATATATATATATATATATATATATATATATATATATATATATATATATAAACAAAATACAAAAATATTTAACATAAAACTGATAATAATAAGAAATATTTTAAGCACCAAATCAGCATATTAGAATAATTTCAAATTTTCTTTGAAATTTTTAACTAGAATAGAAAATACAAAACAGTTATTTTAAACTGCAATACAGTATTTCACAATATTACTATTTGTATTATTATTATTATTTTTGCATTTTATGCATTAACCTTTAACAGTAACATTATTGACCACATTTTTTAAAAAGATAGTATATTATTTAATTTAATATAAATAGAATGATAATTATAAATAAAATATGTAATTACTTAATTATTTAAAATAGAGCATTTTTACTAGTGGTCTCAATCATTTTGGACCCTACTGTTTCGTTTAAATTAAAAGCAAAAGAGATATACTCAAGATGTAAAAAAAAATAAAAATTATTCAAAGAAGACTGAAAACAAACAAACAAAAACTGTGCACTATACATTAACAAAACTGTTTAGACTAGTAGAGTTTAGAACTGCCATATGGAAGCACTAACACTCAAATAGCCAAATATCATCCAACATATCAGTCCACTGGATACACTGAAATCCATCTAATACAGATGAATTACAATTACAGGAGGGAACAGACATACTTACAGCTGAGGGACCTGAAATATGGCACTGTCCACAGTGTTAGTGCCCAAACTATCTTCACTGTCCAGTGTGTATGCATCCCCATCAATTATTTTGTGGTTTGTTTTATCTATATAAATACACATACACAAACAGACAATTAGACATGAGCCATATTAAGCAAGGGTCTCGTTATTTACACTACTAACTTAAAAACAATTTATGCAAAAAGAATGGAAATGCACTTTGCACAGAAAGTTACATATGGACAGAAAAGATAACAGAACTAAAAAAAGAGACCACAGTGAAATGAAAGGCAATGCACTCTTTTTAAAATAACATTAAACATCGGTTTAAAAACATAACAGACTTTCATGCAAAGTTAATGGCTGCCTTGATTTTAGATTTAAACATTTTTGTGTTTTGCTTCTATGAAGCGTGGTTTGTGCTGATTTTTTCTTAAATTTAGAGAGAGGGAGGAGTCACATGTCTCTCACCTCCTCTAGCAGAGATCCCTCCATGTTGGTCATCTGACTCGATACTTTGCTCTCATTGGCTGGAAGATGTTGTGTGATCAGTATGGGGCCAGTTCTGCCTTTAGATGGGGCTGTCTCTACACAGACTCATCCAGAGATTGCATAGCCGCTCTCACATGAAACCAGCTCATGATTTTTACACATCACAGTCATGCGGACATAGATATGGCTTTGAATTGGGGATAAGGGCCTGGGAATTTACTTGCAAAGGGGCAATGAGGTAACAGAGGGGTTCATCATGCTCTGGATGTCAGTGTGAAGTGTTTTCCATATACACTCAGGTGTACCTTAAATTTAGCCCCCCCATGTCGGCAGGAAAAGTTTGTGCTCTACTTTGAGGGATTTTTTTATGCAACAAATGCCTCCTCTGCTACTACACAACTTGCTGTATTACAAAGAAACACTAAGCCTGAATGTCTGGCATGAAATTTTATCTGGGAAATACAATCTTTAAATGCTGACCCAAGTTTTACGACAGCTGAAGGCAGGTTTGTGATATTCGATTTACGGATGTGAGTTTAACAGACATTGGTTGTTTAAAATATTTAGGGTTTTACGGGCTTTATTAAAAATTAAGATCTTTATAATGAGATAATTTCTATTTTGCCACTCAGTATGCAGATATCACTATAAATGCTAGGAAGTTTAAAAAGTGCTTTAGGACAATCTAATTTTTCACTTTTCTTAAAGAAATAGTTCACTCAAAACATTCTAAAATTAAGCCATCCAAGATGTAGACGAGTTTGTTTTTTCATCGGAACAGATTTGGATCAATTTAGCATTACATTACTTGCTCATCAATGTTTCTTCAGCAGTGAATGGGTGCCGTCAGAATGAGAGTCCAAACACCTGGTAAAAACATCACGGTAATCCACACGACTCCAGCCCATCAATTAATTTGTGAAGCAAAAAGCTGCGTGCTTGGATTATCATTCTGATGGCACCCATTCACTGCAGAGGATCCATTGGTACACAAGTGATGTAATTTCTCCAAATCTGTTCTGATAAGGTAACAGACAAACAAAGGTGAGTAAATTTCCCCAAAACATTTTTGTTTTTGTGTGAACTATTGCTTTAATAGTCAATAAGATACTTTCTATTTTGTGGATTATTAAGTTAAATGTTTTCATTTTGTGATTTTAAGTGAAGGCTTCAATTTATTAACAAAATGATGAAAACAAAACCAAAAACAAAACTATGTGTCAGAAAGGTGAGGACGAGAGGGAATGGAAAAGAAATAGCAGAAGAGTGCGAGAACGAGAGGACTGACTGAAAGGAAGAAAGAAAGACAGAGAACAGATAGGCTGTGAGCTCATGTGAAGTAGTAAGTGTTACTTGGCTGGAGTCGGGCCTGTTGCACCGCAGCCTCAGCTGCAGCGATGGCGTTCCCGGCTTCTTCCAGGTGGGCCTGGGTGACGCTGCCTTTGCTCTGGCTGCGTGAGGGGCCGTGGGAGCGCAAGTGACCCTCAGAGGAAGATTTGGAGCTGCCAGGACTACTGTGGGACTTTTCTATTGTAGGGACCTGTGTATCTGTGAACATACAGTACATGCCCTCCATTAATCCAGCAATAATCCCAAATATTAAACCGTCCATCTCCTGTTCATTATACAAGTCAGTGAGTTTGTTTTTGTTTTTGAAAGAAATTAATACTTGTATTCAGCAAGGATGCATTACATTCAAAAGTGACAATAAAGATATAATATTACAAAAGATTTATATTTAAAATAATCAAAGTTCTTTTGAACTTTCTATTTGTCAAAGAATCCTGAGGGAAAAAAAAAACATATCATGGTTTCCACAAAGATATTAAGCAGCACAACTGGTTTCAGCATTGATAAAGTCAGAAATGTTTCTTGAGCAGCAAATCAACATGTTCAAATTATTTCTGATGGATCATGTGACACTGAAGACTGGCATAATGATGCTGAAAATTCAGCTTTGGCATAACAGGAATAAATTACTTTTCAAATTATTTTAATATAATTTAAAATTCTATTAAAATAGAAAGCGGTTGTTTTAAATTGCAGTAATATCTCACAATTTGACTGTTTTAAAGGGGTCATAGGATGCCCATTTTCCACAAGTTGATATGATTCTTTAGGGTCTTAATGGAAAGTCTGTATCATAGTTTGGTTAAAATTTCTCAATGGTAGTGTAAAACACCTTTTTTACCCTGACAAAAACAGCTCTTTTCAGAGCATGCAGATTTGTAGCATTTTCCTTTAAATGTTAATGAGATCTGCTGACCCCGCCCCTCTCTTCCGAGCCGCTCTCAGAGAGACTGCATTCATTGTGAAACTTGCCAATTAGCACATTATTAGAAAAGGCAATTTGCAAAGATTCGTTAAAAAAACCTTACACTCACTTCTTCTGTAGGTGATGCTGGATCACAAATGATTCGCGCGAACATAGATGCATTTATGTAGATCGGGGGTGCATTCCCTTCAAAAACAAACATAATCCACTGCATCTTCAGCGGCTCAGATTTCAGGAGTAAACGATGACTGCTATGTTCATTATTATATCTAACAACAGAAGACCTCAATCGCTTAGGAGTCATTCTTGTCTAAAGATTTTAGTAGATTAACAAAAAACCACTGGGTGGATTTTTATCATTTTAGGGTGGTTGTGTACACACACTGCCAACACACATTTCAGTTCAAACAACTTGTAAAAGTACATGTAGCATTATATGACCCCTTTAACTGTTTTGGTCAAATAAATGCAGGCTTGGTGACTGTAAGAGACTGTAAGAAAAAAAAAGTTGTAAAAAATTTACTGGCTCCAAACTTTTTTTAATGGTATTCTAAAACAATTTGCACTAGTTCCCACCTGTGTGATTCCTGTTTGTATTTTTGTTTAGTATGCATGACCTACCTTTAGCAGGGTCAGGGAAAATGCCGTGACTTCGGCTCTTGATGACAGAGGTTTTAGGGGACTGCTGGTTCCCCGGTTGCCCTCCTTGACCTCCAGAACCTCCTGGCCCTCCAGGGCCGCCCTGACCTCCGAGTCCCCCGGAGCCGCCGGGCCCCTGCGGAGGGTGAGTTCTTCCATGGTGAATACTCTCGCTTTGCTCCTTTAGGGGGTGCCAGCGAGGCGTGTTATCCAGCTGAGTCGTGTTTGAGAGATCAATGAGCACCTACAAAAAAAAAAGTATTAATAATGTGTTAGATTTGAATTTACTCATCTGACTTCATAGAAATGTCTGTTTTCTAAACTGTTCTTTGGTGGATAATAATGTAAATAGATACTGACAGAAAAATGACTTAATAACAAATTTCATAGTAAACCCTGGTGCACAAGACAAAATGCTAGCATACTTTACATCACTTCTAAGGAATTTTGCAAATTATGTTTATCTCTGCCAAAAGGTCTTTTATTTTTTTGGTGCACGGAATGACACTTTTATCTTGTAACACTCACTTCTCCCAGGAAATCATTTGAGGAATATCTGTCATAATCCCACACAGTAACCTCCAGAGTTTTCTTCTTCAGCTGAGGCGAACACACACACATACAAACATTTTCAGTCAGATGCAGGAAAAAGACAATTCATCAAGTATAAACATCTTTTAACATGAAATCTGTGACTTAGTAAACAGCATAGCAATGGCAGCAAAACTGAATCAACCTTCAGAGTTTTGAAGCATGGAATGCCAAGTTTGGATGGAAAAAAATGGGACACATTTTATTGTGATGTAACTTCCCTTGTGTTTTTGACTACTTTAATTACATGATAAAGATCTGTGCATATTCCTTAGACTAAATAGGCTATAACCTTATAAAGCTAGAGAGGGAAGAAAGATGAATTCTAATAGAGAGTAAAAAGAGAGAAAAATAGAGAGAAAAGCACACACAAAGGGAAAGTTAAATTTTTCATATAGATATGATCTTTTAGAAGAGATATGCAGAACTGAACGATCTCCAAATAGGAAATAACTATAAAAAACCTGAACATTTATAAGTAATTGCATAGGTACAGAACAGCTATAGATCAGCATTTACAGTAATAAATCTAAACATAAAATGAAAATATAAAGCATATTTTAATATAATTCAAACAACCACATTTTCATGAAATAGAAATCTTTTGTAACATTATAAATGTCTTTACTTGAATGTGTCAGAAAGTATTAATTTCTTAAAAAAAAATAATAAACTTACTGACCCCAAACTTTTGAACAGTAGTATGTATTTAAATATATGTATATAAATATAATACATATATAATAATAACTACCTTCATAAAATATTTTATAAATAAATAAAACATATATTACGTTTATGATATGACAAAAATTTAAAATATATATAATAATAAAAATACATATATAATAATGTGACATACTTACCTGCTCCAGATGGATGTTTTTATAAATGACGGTCTGGTTCCACTCTGGGTTCTGAGTCTTCTGGACATATTTAATTCTTCTCTTGTTCTCAGCACTGCAAGGTTATCATGTTGAGACAGGATACAAGGAGCAATAAAGTTAGATGATGCATTTCAAAGGTTTACGTAGCATATTTTTAGCCACTTGAGGCTAGTGGAGTTGAGATGACCTCACAAAAGGCAACACCGATGCATCTACGGTCCATGCCACCAATGATGATAATGACATTATCGGATCACAGAGTAAAATGTGGAAAAAATCCAACTTCTACATGAGTATATGGGCGATCTATGCAAGCATACAATAGCACTAGACTCATTACAATGATTACAATGCTTTTTGCAATGCTTCAATTACAATGAGCTGATGTGAATTTGCACAATGGTAGCGTTGCACAACTGTACTTAATATTTACTGGTTTTGAGGGAATGGTTTCAAGAATTTATTGACTTCAAATCAAAAACTTCAGAGGTAGAGGTTGCTTTGAGGTAGATCTGAGACACTTCACAGATGACGCAGTAGGCTTCACCACATGAGTGACAGAATGATAATTAAAGAAAGGAAATCCAAACACACACACACACACACCAATGAAAAAGAAAAATGAAAAGAAAAAGAAACACCACGCTACCTTGCGTTCTGGACAACCATGACTTGGCTGAACCAATCCGGAGATTTGTATGGAATGCGAAGTAAAAGTAGACAGACAAACAGACAACAGTCAGAGAATCCAAGGAAAGGGGAGACAGAAACCCCTCAAAAAAAGTTGAGGTCCGGGTGGGGTCGTGTCTGTCGGGCTTTTAGCGCCAGACAAAAGAATCAGTTGTGCAGGTAATAGGAACTAATCTCATAAACACTGCAGATATGGCCATTAGGAGATGGCAGATATAGCATTACACACCCCATACTGGTGGAAGCCATATCGATTGTGCCGTCTCCGCAGTCCGATACACTGAGCTTGATTACTAGGTAGCATGTTAAGCTAAGCTAATAAAAATTTAATTCTCTAAGGAAGATCTCTTCCACTTTAGTCTTCCAATAAGTCATTTCTGTACTAAAGTGGTGAGGACTTCTACCCAGGAAGGGAGAACTTTTAGCCCACTGGATATACCAGTTATTACCGGTAACATTTGTTACTCCGCCATCCAGCGATTCAGTTTATTATTAAAAAATGTTTACACTTTCATTCCATTGTAATTATTATGGAATAATGTGTAGAGGGTACAACGGAGCTAAAGGCGTACTTGATTTTATTTCGTAGAATCTTGATATTGAAGAAAAATGTGACTTCTGGAAGACCAAGAGAAAAACAACAACAGGAGCTATTACAAAAAAAAAAGGTGGGGGGGAGGGGTTAAATGAAGTGACTCAAGATTCAAGTAACTAAAAAAGAAAAATCAGACAATAAATTAACCACAATTACAACATTTATATATGTGGACAAGGACACACATAAAATAAATAAACATACTGTAGAGATTCTCTAAATCTTTCATTCGTCACTCTTATTGTCACTATAACACTTGCACACACACACACACACACACACACACACACACAGAGCCGTGTACACAGGTATACTCACCCTCTCCCTGGCAAGAGATAGACCTTAACGAAAGGGTCTGTGTATCCATTGTTTTCTCTAGGAGCGAGGTTTCTTGCTTGTAGCACGTGAACAATCAGATTGCCCATATTCTTGTCATAGTTGATTTGAAGCTGAGTGAAAGATATATTATGAGATACATAATACTACAGACAGTCTATTAAAATGTAATTTCATTCTAAAATGTGCATTTAAAAATAGTGCATTTTTCATTTATTTAAATTAATTCATATTCATAAACATAACAGTAAAATAATCCGATTTTTCTTTTACTTCTACACTGCACACTTCTGCATCTTTTCATCCTGCACAATTAGTTTTGCCTGGACATTAAAAAATAAATAAGTTTAAAATAATTAATAAATAAATAAATAAAATATAAATAATTATTCTGTCACAAAAGTCATTTACATGATGTTTACATTATGTTTACAAAATTGTGATTTATATAGTTAGCTGCCTTATTCAGATATGTAGAAATGGGAATAATGAACACAGCCAAAACACAATCATATAATTCAAATTGATTTTAGAATATACTAATTGTATAAATTTGTTCATTGTGAAATTGGTGCACATACTCACTTGTATTTCACCAGTGATTGGATGCGGTTGTTGCTTCAGAAACTCTGCTGACTGAAAAACAAAATAATGGAAAATAAATCCCTGTCTGCTTTAAATCTAGTTTGCAGTTCCAAAATTTAGACACATTTGATGTATGCTCTATATACGTTATGTGGCATCTTCCTGCACACTTTTACAGATAAAGTACCTTGCTACTATGACGCTTCTTGTTGACGGAAGGGGACCCGGGTTGCCCAGGGCTGGGGACCCCACTTGAAGCGGCTGATCCGGTGCCAGACTGCAAGTGTCCCGCTCTCTCCAGAGCAGACAGCACAGAGGCAGGAGTCTGCTGCTGCGATACCTTCTGCAGCTCTGCAGCCAGCTGCTTTGGGTCAACACCTGGAGAACGCTGACGCTCACCTACAACACAAACACACACAACAACTATAACACAAAACAAACCCTTTTCAACCTACTGATCAATAAAGACACCTTTGCCACGGTCAGGAGTACAAGAATTTGGGGTTGTAAAATTCCCCAATTTGACCTGGGGTTAAAATCAGAAAGCTGTAGGAAAGGAAGCTTCCAGTTAAAATAAAAGATTAACGTGTCTTATGTCATGCATGCATGCATATTGGCTGGACTTGGATCTTGTCTTTTTTTTTTTTTAGTCTGCTTAAGCAGCTAAATTTTGATACCATTGAAAAATTTTATTGAAACATAAGCTTAGCCAATTTTTTTTTTTGTCTTTCCCCATTCAAGTATTTAAGAGTCTGCACATGGCCAAGATGGCTGCAGAGTAGACCGGCTTTACCTAAAGGGACTTTTTTTTGTGTGTATAAAAAGCTTATTAAAGGGATCACAACATGTAAGTACAGTATGAAGGGAAGACCAGAAAATATTGGAGACACTCACCAGCACTCAGCTGAGTATGGAGCTCCAGTTGTTGAGGGTGTTCTGTGTCGGAGAGCATGTTTAGGTCTCTAAACAGCAGTCAAGATAACTGTATTAGCATATTGGCTTAAAGACCACAATTTGACCATATTTGACAGTTAAATCGATGTATCACCATTCAGCATTAAATAAGACACAGTCTAGAACCTGAAAAGTTATTTCAAGTCTAATTGTGTGAAATGATATGTTCTTACAAAAATGCACTGAACTACCATGGTACAGTGAGGGTATCTGCTGGTAAACCATGGTCCTTAAATATATACTATATTCATATATTGATAATAACAAATGTTTCTTGAGCACCAAATCAGCATATTATCATGGTGGGCTAGGTTAAGTCTCAAACATTGAATACATTATTGAAACATACAGGCGCAAACATATTTCTGCCTCTCCATACTGCTGACCCACAATGCTTTGCACTTCTTCATATGTCTTTCCCAGCAGAGAGATTCCATTCCACTCCAGAACCTGCATTCCTGAGGAACACAACACGTCATCAGAACCAGTGAGTGAAATACATTTATTAGGTTCGAATAGTAAAAACAGATACTCACAGACAGTGCACTTTAGCCAAAAGTAAACATTATTTGTCTGCAGATTGTTATGGAAAGTATTAAAAAGAGGTGCCGTTTATAAAAGTCACCAACTGTATGATTATTTTTAAAAACCTCAAATCTAGAGCCAAAGTTTGGATTCTGTGTACTCTATATTGGGGAAACATCAAAAACTATTATGATAGATTCACACACAGATAGAAAGATATATGTGCTACTATGATTCCTGAGGGTAAATTCTGGAAAAACAATCACTGAATTAACCACACACATAAATAACACACACACACACACACACACACACTTTTTCAATAGCATGCTTCCCTGAGCACTTCACTCACTACAAGGAAACTTGAGCTTCAGAGACCGAAAACAAGTGCAGAAAACAGAGAGCGAGAAAAACAATTTAAAAGCATCACTACAAACTCAAGCCCACTTCAGGCCAAACCCCGAGCACTTACACAAATGAAAGCGAGTCTTCAGATAGGTCTTTTGCATTCGGAGTGCTTCAGCGGCTGATAACAACAAGACATCATTCAAATGTCTGTTCATCTCTACACAATCAATCTCTTTAGTTTCCACTCAAAAACCTCTCAGATGTTCAGCAAGTACATCAGTCATATCTCCATATTACTCTGCAAGATTACCACTAAGCCAAAATCAGTATTTCAGCTTTGAAATTAGTATCTGAATGATTTGTGCATAATTGGGATTGGATTCGGTTCATTTGGTGAAAATACTGTGTGCTATAAAAGGGAGCATCTTCAAAAAGCTTTAATGTTAGAAATGATTTATATTTCCCATTTTTATTCATAAAATGTTTACCTCATTTACTGTACCAACATATACTGTAGATAATTATGGTCAAAATGATAAAACATGAACCCTTATTTTGCCGATGTGTTACTGATTCACTGGCTAAATATGGAAGATCCCTGTTGTATTCAATACATGCATGCATACTTTGTGTTTCTAAGTTGAAGCATTTACATATGAGTATGCATTGTGCAACTGTGCATTCATTCAACTCTTGGCCCAAATAATAATATCGCTACAGCTATCAGATATTAAATCTGCTCTCTAGCACATTTTCCACTGTGGCAGCTGACATTATACTGTATCAAGAGAAACCTAACTTAAGACTTAAGAACAGATGCTTGTGTAATTTGCCAGCAGATTGTTGCTTGCATATTTCAGGGATGAAACAAAAAAGTAGACAAAAGATTTGGCACTATAAAGGAAACTTTTTAAAATCAAGCGTCTTTGCTAAAATCATGAGTTACGAAAGAATAAAATAAAATAAGCTAAAACATGTTCAGGAAGCTGAGCTTTTCTCACAGGGGCTCATCTAAATTGACAAGAGCATGCTGAGTCAGCATTCGTCAACAAGGAGAGCAATCATACCACAACAATAGCATCCTGGTTAATATGAGAAATGGTCTTTAAAATGAGGTACTTTTCCCTTTGAAAGAATACTGAATGCTTAAAATGAATGAATTTGCTGATGCTTGCTTTTTTAAAACACTGACCTTTAAGAATTGAAAAATGCATGAACGTAAATTTTTTTTAAAACCACATTTGCTTATTTATTGCATCTCTTTCGCTTCTTTAACCCCTTACTGTCTGTAAGAGAATTTAACTTGCTAATGTTATCAGATTGACTAATTCGGAAGTTCTTACCTTCAATAACTTTTCCCGTATGCTCAGCACAGCCCCCTGCTGAAACCTTGGCAATGTAGGCTCCGATCTCTCTGTTGGTCCCTGGAATCTCTTTTCCACCCACAACTCTGATTCCCAGCCCACTCCCTGAATTCAAACGAGTTCAGTTTAGCTGATGAATGACTGAGTAATTGGATCCTAGTCCAAGCATTTCAGTATCATTTCAAACATGATCTCTTCATCAATATGACTTCCACGAGATAGATTACAATTGTTGTTTTGCTTCCCTTTCGTGGAACTTCGAACTGCGTCCTCTAGGGGTCGCTATGGGGAACGCCTCGTCGTGACCCGTGTCTGAAGCCTACATTGAAAAAACACCAACTTGTTTGGCCGGCGACAGCCATGACGTCACTACCGTCGCAACTAGTACAAAATAGGCGCCGGTAGCGCACATCATCACTTTCTTCGTCTTCACTGACCGTTCTGTTTGAAGCGTGCATTCCAAAAGCAAAGTAAGAGTATTTCATTTCCTACTATGGCGAGCACTAGCGGAGCGTTTAGAAAGTGTGTACATCCGTGTCAGCGGTTTCTGACACCCGATGATTCACACGATCTATGCGTTGTTTGTTTGGGCGAGGAGCACGCACGCGATGTCCTCGAG